AAAAATGTTAGGTCAAAAAAAAAGTTTTATTTTTTTAAAAAATCCCCCCCCCCCCCCGACCTCTCTTCTAATATAATAGGGCCTCAATTATCGAGGCATTTTTTATTCAGATACAGACTCGGGTGCATTTATTCAATAAATCGTACAAACTATGGTAAGAAAGAGTGACATGTTTCATTCCTGTTGCTGTGAATGGGCTCAATATTTTTTTTTCTGAAGCAAAAAAAAAAAAAAAATAGAAACCTCTGATGTTTACATAACATCTTTATTATCATTTCAGAAAAATTAAGCAACTGTATGCATTTAATTTAAGCATAAGCAGTGGGGGGGGGGGGAATGAAAACACAATCCAATTATAAAGTTCTAAATATAATAACTCACATTTTTGTGATATTTTATAGCCTTTGTGACAAAAACTTTGAACGTGTTTAGGGTCGTGTTGACGCTGCGGGGTCGGAAAGGAAGACGATTATTTATATGGGGTACGAAGACAGCATGTTTGACCAGAAAGCAAAGTCTACACAACAAACTGAGCTCACTGTTCTCAGGGTGAGGCGTGGTGACAGGCAAAACAAAGGAGAACGGCCTTTTCCACCGACTTTCCTGAAAACAAAGCATTCCCACAGCATCAGGCCATCAGCACCGTGTCTCCCTGTGGGAACTGTGCGTTCAAGCTCGATGTCCAGCCTAAATTTTATCCCACACTCATTGTTTCGCCCCTGACCGGAGCATCTTTCCTGACGCAATTGTTGCGTCCAAGACAGACAGTCGACAGATTCTTCCACCTGAGAAGGTGAAGCTCTGCGGTTAATGTCACTCGTATCAGTTTCACTACGTTTAAACTTGCCTGTTTTTAACTGAACAACCCGTTTCGCATGCGAGGAAAGAGATGATTGTGTAAACTAATTGTCAGAAACATAAAATGAGGATTAGGTTTTATTCGGACATGAAAAGAAATGATCTACACGTGATCATCGTTTCTCCGAGAGCCGTCATGAATA